GGAACAATATGAGAAAAAAAAAATGTATAAAATCGTATAAAAAGATCTTTTGGGGGGCCCCCACCAGATGCTTCTGTCTGCAAATGATTTGGAAGTTCATTCCTTCCAAAGCATCTCCCATTTTAAACAGGCAGTTTGCCATCTTAAAATCATGCATCAGACCTTAGAAAGAGAAAGGTACTACTGAATTTTGTTATCATGACAAGGACAGGGCACTAAAGCATGAAGCAGAAGATGGGGGGGGGGGGGTAAGTCACTGTCGATTTTTTCAAGTTGCTCTGTTAGTGGGTCATTTTAAAAAGGAAACAGTGGGGGTGGCTCAAATGAAACCCCCCCCCATGTAGAAATGAAAATGGGCCCTGCGAAATCCTCAAGACACTTAAGCGCTCCTCCAGCTTTCTCCCAGTGGCCTCGTACCTCCTGCTCAGTGTCTTCTCCAAGCACGTTCCATCTGATCTGATAAAGGATCACGTCGGAAGCTGCAGATCCTTCCCACTCCAGTTGGACCTCACTTCTGGAGAGCTCGGAGACCTTCAGCTGGCTTGGTGGTGGCACTTTTACTGGGGGGTGAAAGGGAGGAACAAGCAAAGACCTGCTCAGAATTAGCTCCTAGTGTCTCTGCTACCAGAACGCTGCGCCATCTTGCACCCGTGCAGCAGAGCAGATGGTGAGGGAGTCTCAGTGGCAACTGAGCAGCTGTCCTTAACCAGCCCGTCTTTCACTTCTCCAGACACCAAATGACTAAAGCTTATTTTGTCTGGAATGGAAGGCCCGGAATGTCATATTGTGCAACCATAAATTAAAGCCTAATTGTTTCCTTTCAGCAAGGCCTATTCAACCTAGCACTTCCAAAGAAAGTGAACATCCAGGAGAAGCATTCAAGGAAGAAGTAAGTAGGGGGAAAACGTGCTTCTCTGAATATATTAAAGATTCCAGAATTACCATCTAAACCATACAAAAATGTCCAGGAAGGTGGTGAAAACATTTTTTTTTTTTAATTTTCCAAAGGAAAGAGCATTTCTTAAAATGCTCTTGCTTTCTTGGGAGATGATTTTATGAAAGTCACAATATGGCCTGGATGTAAGCTAACAATGATCTCAACTTGTGTTCATACTGGTTCTTGGCATCGTTTCAGTCCTTCTGATTAATGGAGAGAACTGAACTTTGATCTCTGCCTCCAACTCTAAAAATCCACAAAAGACCGTTGATACTTCTACTACAGTATTAGGAAATGACAACTGGAGCAACCAGAGAGGGTGGTAGGAAGGGGCTTAAAAATGATAGCGACCAAGGCTACATAAGAAAGTGGTACAGCTTCTGTTGCATGGTTGGGGACACCATCTTGACTTCTTCGACCTCCGCCTTGTGGACACCCCTGATTACAACATGGACATATTTACTGTCAAGGGTACATCTCTAAGTTCCGGCTTATGGCAAATTTTCTCCACGTGACATTTCCAAAGAGGTATAAATGCAACATCTAGTGAAATAAGCAGGGATTCCCAGCCTGAATCCTTTCATGCTAACTGTTGGAAGAATTATAAATATATCCATTTTGACAATGTCCCATGAGAGCAACTGTTGTGGTTTTTCCTGTTTTGTTTTTTCATCTTTATTTATTTATTTGAAAAATGTGTACCTTTCCAGGGCATTTTATATCCTATTAATGTTTATTTACTCGTTCATTCATTCATTCATTCATTCATTCATTCTTTCCTTTCTTGTAGGCGTTCAAGGAGGCCACCTAGCACCTCCTCCTCCATCTTTTCCCCATAACAATAACTCTGTGCAATAGGTTGGGCTAAGAGATAATGGTTTGCCAAATTCATCCAGTGAGCTTCCATAGCTGAGCACAGATTTCAACCTGGATCTTTCTATCTTCCACCTTTAGGGGAGACTGCTTCTTACTACACACACTACTGTCCCAAGAGAGTTTAACAAGAACAAAATACATGGCAAGTCTGTTAAGCATCGGAAACATCCCGTTACTTGTTTTCTCCCCTTCAGTTGATGAATGATGTGGCTTCCTATAGGTTAGTAGACAGATGTGGAAGTGGCTTAACCCCTCCTTGGCTAACTAGGTGTCAGGCACTTCTATCTGCTCAACTTACTCTCTCTTACCTCTTGGTCTGTGCATACTTGTGACTTGATTACTTCTAAGTTCCTAGCTCTTGAAAGCTGTCTAAATCTCAAATCTGGCCCCTTAACTGTGGAGATACACAACCTACAGCCTGCCATCCAAAGCCATTAAGATTTCTGCTCTTCTAAAAATTGCCACCAAATTGTAATGGATTAAAGTGACAGAGAGGGAAATGATTAAGAACATGGGGCATGATCCAAATAACCATTTCAATTAATCCAATGCCGTTTTAATTACATTTAAATGGAATCAAATTCATTTTTGTCTTGACCTGCTCCCTTTTTGGAGTGCACTTTCCAAGAAAGACCCCCAAAGTCTTAAGAAGAATTGCAGCAGGATGGACATTTTCATATGCAGGCTGTTAACTATGTTAGACTATAGTTAATAAGAGAGCCGGTTGCTGTAGTTGTTAAAGGCACTAGGCTAGAAACACGGAGATCAGGAAAGCTAGTTGGGTAAATTTGAGCCAGTCCCTCTCTCTCAGCCTAGGACGAAGACAATGGCAAACCACTTCCAACATTTTTGCCAAAAAAACCCTGCAGGGCCTTGTCCAGGCCATCACTCGGAGTCAAGGCTTACTCAAGAGCAGCCCCTCCTTAAAAAAGGGGGGAGGGTTAATAAGCCTGTGCAAAATGACACTGTTGGGCTTTCTGCACCAAACCAACATAATCTGTCACCTCAGCTCAGAAAATGGAATCATTCCAAACTTGAGGGAAAAGAAGAAGAAGAAGAAGCTGCTACCTGTACTCTTATTTCGTAAGGTGAGGAAAACAGTAGCCAGAAAATACTGTTTTTCAATTACGGCACCAATATTCTGGAACAGCCATCCTCTAAAGCCTGACTCATCCCTTCAGGGATGGCCTTCAAAAAGACAATGGACCTTGGAAGAACTCTGCGGGATGACTGGGCCCCACCTGGAAGTGGATTTCATTCTTAGTCAGCTGTGGTTGTAGGCTGTAACTACTATTTTGGTTTTTATTATGGAATCCTTGGTGCTCTCTGAGCTTGGCGGTTTGCTTGCAGATGTTTCATTACCCAACTAGGTAATATCATTAGTGCTAGTGAGTGTGGGATTTGCTCCCTGCTTATATTTATATCAAGTAGTTTGCCCTGCCAGTTTTGGTGGGGATGTGGTTTTTTCCTTGGTAGTTCATTGATTAGGGTATTGTTTTCTGCTTAATTGTTTGTCTGGTGTTAATCCCTGCTTATCTGGGTGTAGACTGCTAGAGAGGATGTGTTCTGGTCTTTTTGTTTCCGTCTTAGCTTTCTTATTGTCTCTTTTGAATGCTTAGGTTTATGTGTCTATTGATGGCTGATGTGTCTGAGTGCCAAGCTTCCAGGAATTCCCTCGTGTTTTTGAATTTAGCTTGATCTAGGATGCTCACAGTTTCCCAGTTGAAACTGTGGTTGAGTCTGTCCATGTGTTGTGAGATTAAGGAGTTTTCATGGCGTCTTCTGACTGCTAGTTGGTGTTCATGGATGTGCTCTGCTAGTCCTCTGCCTGTCTGTCCTACATAGTGGCTCTTGCACTCCTTACACTGTAAGTTGTAGATGACTGTATTGTGTTATTACTGGGGGTAGGAGTTATTTTATTTATTGTAGCTATTTTATTGTATTAATCAGTGATATCTGGGGGGCAAGGGATATCAGATTCATCTAAATTGTGTTTCTGTTTCATCAATGCAAGCTCCCCCTTTTTTGTAGGGAGCCTCTATTGCACGTACAAAAGGAGGAAGTTTGTGTTCCAATACCACAATTCTACTTTTGTCATTCTGATGAAAGCAGTGAGATCCTGCAGTTATTGCTATGTTATGTTGTTGTGAGCTGAGTGGATCTGGCAGAATAATAATAATAATAATAATAATAATAATAATAATAATAATAGCCATCACTACCACCCCAACAACTTGAATCAGAGCCATGAAATGGAGCAGCTCAATTTGGCTATCTACTTCCATCTGGGGGAAGGTGTTTCATGTAGATATGGTTCCTACACAAAATCCTTTTATTAGCATTTGGATTGTAACAGGCAGCTTCTCCTATCTGGCATTCAAAGAGCTGGGATACATGAATGTAGTGCTTTGTTTCAAAGAGGTATTTTGATCAAGCTTCATCACATCAGTGGCCCATCAGAGCTCCGTGCAGCCTAAAGCTTAAAACTGGAAGGACAAGAACAGAGAGTTTCTTCAGGTCATACAGGCAGAGACAACAGCTTTCATCCCACCAGGGGTCTGGAAGGATGTAAGAACACCTATGATGTTCAAATTTTCTAAGTTCCAAAGACCATCAGGATATTTCTATATTTCTGCATTATACAACAATTCAGCTACCATCCTGAAGCAATTGTATGAAACTTCTCTTGACCATTGATGGTGCAACCATCTTAGCATTCTGTACTTACATGTCGTAAAATTGCCCATTACTGGAAAGGAGTCACCTTCATCATAAACAGAGACCACACGGACAAAGTATTGAGTCAGTGAGGCGAGGGGCTTCAGCACAGCAAATGAGCCATTTCCAGGGACTTCCACCTGAAATGGAACAGGTGGTTAAGGATGTAGGAAGCTGGACCCAAACAGCAGAGCAAGCACCCAAGGAATGAGAAGGAAAGATGCACTGAACTTGAGTTTATGATGAAATGCAAATGGTTACTTTCAGCAGTGCACCTGACCATGTGTTAAGCTGGCTACCTGATTATCCTGGGGGGAATTTTATCCCACTTTTGTACATGATCAGAAATCCAGAGAGCTGGGGGAATGATGGGTCTTCTCGTTGTCTGATAGAGCAAAACAGCAAATGATTCATCCACCAGCCTTACCATTAGACAGGGGTTAATATTGGGAGGTTAATATTGACCAATAACAGAGTGTTGATACAGAGATCTGAATGTCACACTGTCTAATCCAGTGTTTCTCAACCTTGGCAACTTTAAGACAGGTGGACTTCAACTTCCAGAACTCCCCATGCTGGCTGGGGAATTTTGGGAGCTGAAGTCCACCCAAGGTTGAAAAACACTGGTCTAATCTGTGCTTCCTCTGACTTAGCCTTGCCTTGCACCTTTAGGTGCCGTTTAGAATAATATCCACTGCCAATTTTGAAGAACGATGCAACTCTTTGCACATGGAAAGGGAGTGGGCACCATCTTGCTTTATGCCTCAGGCAGCAAAATAACTTGGTCCAGCCTTCCTATAAGTCACAAAAAGTCACGTATGGTGGGTCAAAATCAAATCACCCAAGGGAAATGCTCCATGGGTTCCCTGTTTCATGGTGAAGGGGCCTCTTCTTGGTGGTCTTGCCCTCACCATGGGCTACCCTTCTCTTCTTTTTCTTTGTTCTCATCTGGGTTAGTTACCTTGCCATTTTTTGTTTCATGTTGTTTTCTTGTTTTAATTTTTTTTTAACATTTTGTAAACTGCCCACAGTCAGTGGGAGTCGGGTGACATATACATTTAATAAGTAAGTAAGTAAGTTATGAACACGCCTCTGGGATTGGAAACAACACGCTGGACCATGGGTCTTGCTCCAAGTTGGTAAGAGCAATCCTTAATTCTGATGGTCACTCACCTCCCCTCCATTGCTTCCTCTACTGGAGGAATACACAACTCGATGGCTTTTCACAGCTTGTGAAGCTGGCTCCCAATTGACACTGACAGACATATGGCTGATGTTGGAGAAATGCAAATATCTTGGAGGGTGCAGGGCCACTGGAAGAAATTGTGCATATGATTTTTAGCACATCTACACTAGAGTCTGAAGCCAATCTAACTAAAGTGGATTCTTATGCAAGAAGATCAGTGAATAAGGAATCATTCAGAAGAGGGGCTACGTGTCTCTTTCCAGAAGCAGCCACCCACTCACACATACATACAAATTCTTACCATTTTTCAAGTTGTTACCCTTAAGCTGGGTTTACAAAACCCACCGAATCTGGTTACTGAATTAACTCTGGGTCCTGGGTTTGTACAATTCTATGAACGATCAAGAACTCAACGAGGCTGCGTTTGCATAATGCTTAAAACCACAAGAACACTAACCAAGGTTAATACTAAACTTTTTAACAGATTTTTTTACAGACGCATCTGCTGTGTCATGACCTGCCTTGTTAAGTGTGTTGTTAAGCATGTTTCAGACCAATTTAGGGGTAACTTCTTGAATAAGGCTAGGTTGGTTCTTTCTCTTTATGAATCCAGGTACAGATGGTTGGAATCTGACTACTCATAAGTGTTGCACACATCTACTAGAATTTCTTTCTAACCAGAAAGCACCCAATCAAAGTCCAGATTTCCCTAGATTCTTACGTGAGAAGCTATGAACTAGAAAAGCACAATGCTTGACTTACAAGTAGTTTCCTGAATACTTGCTGGATTGCTAGCATCTTCTCCATACATTGCATAAACTGCTAATGAGTATTCTGTGTTGGGAGTCAAGCCCCTGATCCAAACTTCAGGCTGTTCTACTTTCAGCTGAAAAGACAGAGAAAAATGTATGGTGACTGTTGCCAAGATAATCAAATGAAACCTGACTTCGTTACAACTTTAAAGTTAATGAACCATTTTCCTGGCATGGAAGTTAAGCTATTGTGCAAGGAAGTTGAGGAAGAAAAACCTCAAGTCTAGAGTTGGGAACATGCAAACTGCAAGAGAAATCTGTGAGAGCCAGTTTGGTGTAGTGGTTAAAGGCTTTGGGCTAGAAAGTGGGAGACCATGAGTTATAGTCCTGCATTGGGCATGAAGCCAACTGGGTGACCTTGGGCCAGTCACCTTCTCTCAGCCTTAGGAAGGAGGCAATGGCAAACCACTTCTGAAATCTTGGCAAATAGAGAAAGAGTAGGAAGAAGAAAGGGGGGGGGGCACAATACATAAAACAATGGAAGGAGGGAATGGAATAGTGACAATTACAAATTATTGGAAATAAGGGATAAGAAACAGGGAAAGAGGGAGCTGAAAGGGCTGGAATGATGGAAGATAGAAGGAAAGTCCTCTGACACAATAAGTAAGATCTGCTTGTCATTTTCTTGACAGCCCTCTGGACAGAAAAAAAGAGGAAGAAAGAGGAAAAGTGTCAGGGAGGGAGGGAAGGTCCCCCCTTCTGGGGGTGCTGGATCTGGTCATAAGTGGGCCTGCCCTTGTAAGAGATTGTCCAGAAGTCAAAAAAGAAAAATAAGTATTTATTAGCACAACCACGAGCAGAAGAATGATCCCACTACAGGCCCCACATAAAAGGATTCTTAGTTCATCCTGCAAACTTTTGAGAAAAAAAGGGATGTTGTGGCTTCAGAGAGACCCCATCTTAATGAATTCATGAAGAAAGGAAGGCTGGAAGGTTCTTAGCTTAGCTCTCCAGATTCATTAAAGAAAGTCCATGGGAATCTAGCTTCCTTGAGCATATTTTACAATTTACCCCAGTAGCACCCCAGCGGCAAACTGTTCTGTACAGACTGCCTTAACTGTCTTTGTGGCAGCACATCTGGAAGGTTAGAGAAGCACGTTGACATTTCTATTTTATTCCCATCTCAAAGTATTTTATCCATGTTTAACTCACTCATTTGACTAGAGAATTGTTCCATTTGCTGTTTGTACAAACAAGGTTCTTTTACAATCTTAAAGTAACGTGGAGTTCAACCCTGAGTTACTTATATTCCCTTCTATTGGAATCTTAGAATAACCATATCTGGGCTGCAAACATTTGGATGACTGCTAGATGGCAGCAAAGTCAGAGTTTTCTGCATCTCTTTGATACCATCTTGTGGTCATATGAATCTTTGCAGCCTGGATATAGTAGTGCTACACCATCTCAGAGAATACTGTGCAGAGCAATTTTTCAGCCTTGCCTTGTGACTTTGATGGACCTGCCCTTTTTAAAGAATGCCTTCTTGTGAGACAAAGGGAGACATCTGCTGGTCTTCACCCAGCACAGTCTTTTCATAAGACTGCGCCCTGTCTAATGGCGTCATAGAAACTGTGGGTTGAAAGCCAGCCCTGTATCAAAGTCCCACTGTGCTTGTACACCTTCTACCTTATGTCTCTGGAAAAGACTCCACAAGGGACAGTGTGAACATGGCTGAAACACTCGTTCTTTACCTCTTTTGTAACATCTTCAGCACCGTTGGGTGTTGAGGAGGAAAGGATAAGATATTGAGTGGCTCCTTCAACTGGTTCCCATGCGAGTTTGATACTGTTGTGGCTGATCTCAGATGTTCTGAGGGATCTGGGCGCAGACAAAGGCACTAGGACACAACATGAAAACAATACACATATAGGTTAGAATAGCATGTTTTTGAACAGATGGCCCAAAGACATACGCTATTCCCAGCTTGCTCTGCATTTTTCATTCAAACTCATTCAATTCTTCACCCTTTTTTCCCACCATTCCTATTCAGTTTAATGAAAAAGAAATGGCTTCTAAGTGTTCTTTAGGGGGTGGGGTGGATTTGTTTGGTTTTTTCCCCCCAAAGAAAATAATTTGGGTGACTTTTTGATGTAGAGTTCTTACATTTAATCTTATTTATGAGGTGGACAAGGTCTATGAACATTTTGAAATGAGTTAGAAGAAGCGCACTTGCCTGAGTGCCACACCACTCTCTGGTCATCATTAAGGCATTCACTTTTTATTGCCACTTTAAGAATCTCATTAACTGTAGTTAATCGGCTCCTTAAAGCAGCTGCATCTTTTTACAGGGTCACTGTTAGCCCTGCGAGGTAGTCCAGACAAGACACACAACCAGGAGTACTAGCTCCATCTTTGTTGTAAGGTTACGTTAACAGAATCTTGCAAGACTGAAAGTCTTTCCCCCCTCCTTTCCTTTTACTCTCCAGAAGATTAGGGAGGGTCCCTTCTGAAAGGTCTCCCACGCCCTCCCTCCTTCTGTGCGCTGAGACGTCTTTTACATGCCGGTTGTTCCGTCTGCAACTCTGCCTCCTGTCTCTCAAGGTCATTCACACATACCATTATAGTTATGCAGAAGTCTAAAAAAAATGGGCTGTTTTAAAGAAGAGAGATGCTGTGCTTGTAGCAGGTCCAAAGCCGCTCTTCTGAATCATTTTCAAAATATGCACACCCTAATGTGATGCTCCCATTTTTCCACAGAAGCCATTATGGCTGGGCAAGGTTCCATGCAGGTAAGAGAATGCAAAGAGGATTCAATTGCATCGCCCCATTGAAGCAGATTTGCAAAGTAAACTGCTAGCCAAAGTTTCCTGGGGGGACCTCAAAGGGATGCTGAGCGCCAAAGCAGCCTTGTGCCATCAGCTCCATCTCTTTTGTGTGTGCTTTGTAACATTGCGTGCCCATACAAAAGAGGTGGAGCTTATGTTGTGACCGTACGATGATGCTTTTGTCATTTTGACAAAAGCACCAGATCTTCGGGGTGCATCTGAATGCGGTGCTTTTATTTACCAGATAAAAGCAGCCACAACCTTCTCTCAATGCTCTTCTGTGCCAGGGGAGACACTGCGTCCTTTGAAGTAATGCGCCAACTCGGGTGGGTTGTCTCTCACTTGAGATCTGCAACACTTCAGTTCAGGGTATGGGTGGACTGCATCACCTCTGAATAACCTCCCTTGGACTGCAGAGTCCTGGTCTTCCCAGGACAGTCCCAAGACGTTTGGCCAGCCAGAGAGGCTGTGGAGGGATGGGAAGGGATGCCAAGAGAGAAACACCTTCTCTGCCACTTTGGAGGAATAAGTTAAGCTCCCAAAATAAAAGGCTCTCAAATAAATTATGGAGAAATTCTAAAGCACCCCAAGACTCAATGAGGAGAAGAGGATTCTCTTTCACAGGGCAAGAAGTATTTTGAAAAATTGGCCAGCAGATTCAGCAAAGTGTGACCCACCATGTGCAAAATCTCAAAATGAAGAGTATTTTTAAGCCAATGCAGTAAACGAATGCTGGCTCCATATTCCAGTAGAGCTGGAAGATGATCACACCAGAAATCAATAACCAATTCTTGAAGTAATGAATTTTTATGATGGCCATTAGCCAATCAGTAATACAATAAACCCCACAATCAGACTACCATTTTAAAAATAAATAAAAATAGCTTAACCAAGTGAGTGTACTTACACCATCAATGGTTGTTGTAAAGGCACCATTATTATTAATAATAATGGTTTTGGTTGTATCTGGGTTCATATTGGCAAGACAGTAAGTTACATAACACAATTCATTTCTTCCTGAGAACTTCAAAAGGAGTAGATCTCTAAGTTCCAGCCTTATATCACAATAAATGATTCCATTATGAGGAACACTTATCACAGTTTTGAAGACACCAGAGTCACAGGGATGGATACTTCTGTTTAACCAAACTCGGCAACTTTAAGATGTGTGGACTTCAACTCCCAGAATTCCCCAGCCAGCCATGTTGGCTGGAGAATTCTGGGAGTTGAAGTCCACACATCTTAAAGTTGCTGAGGCTGAGAAACACTGCCCTAAAGGGTTGCTGCTTTGGAAATTTCTCCTCCAGGATGGATGAGGGAAGTATGTTTAAATGGGCCTTTGTGAAGGAAATCCTACTTGGAAAAAACGAGCAAAGACGAATAATTTGTCCCTTTGTCAGGGTGTCTGCAGGGTGTTCTCAAAACAATCAAGATGGCAGCTGTGCTGATGTGATCAGAGATCCACAATGCACATAATAAACAGGCCGGATTTCAATCACACCATCGTGGCCATTGATTTGTGTGACCGTACCCTGCAGACATCCCCAACCTTTGTGATCTGAAGTGTGACAGTATAAAAAGGTTCTTTCCGAACTGGAAGTGTGTTCTGTTTTGCAAGGGTGTCAACTGACACCCAAAAACAAGACAATGGAGACTTTTATGCTTTTTATTATATACAGAGATGTTATTTACAGCAGGTATATACAAGACAGTCCCAGTGTTCACCCAGCTGCTAGTTTCCTCCTAAGTCTCTCTCCCAGAGACTGTCCCCCTCTTGCTCTCCTGCTTCCTCCCCACTTTCTGGGCTTATCAAGAGAGAGTGAAAAGAAAGGAATGGGTGGATTTACTGTAGTGTGCTCAGGACAGCTTGACTTTCTCCTGGATCTGCTCAGCCGAACACCTATTGCTTTTCCATTGGGGGAAAAACTCCCAGGGTCTTCTCCCCAGTCCTTCTCCAGAGACCAGGGCTTCTCCACCAACAGCCGATCTACTCCTCCCCTTTGGGGTCTTGGATGAAGCTGCCACCTGCAGCCAGCCAGGTCCCTCCTTCCCATTCTTGGGTCTTGGGTGGAGTTCTTGTCCCCCTGGGACTTCCCTTCCCTTCTTCCAGGGAATCACCCCTGGACCTTTCTTCTCCCTTCCTGACCAAGAACCAACATCTGCTCTGCACACTTAACTTCTCACTCCAACTTTTCTCTCCAGCCACTCTGTTCACTCCATGCACAGATTTTTTCTCTCTCCTCTCCTTCTCTCTTTCTCCTTCACATTCTCCTCTCCTTCCCTCTCTCTCCAGCATGTCACCCAGCAATTGAGGAGAGGAGTGTCCTCCCAGGGCTCTAGTCCCTAATATCTATATACCTACGTCTCAATGTCTCACCATACCAGCCCTGGCTAGCAGCCAGGTCAGCTCATCAGCCCTTGTGACAGCACACTGCCCTTCAAGACCAGAACTGAACAGGTTCTCCCCTTTTATTCAGTCCCTTGGCTGGTTCATGCCAGCAGAACAGCAGCCAGGCCAGGCCACTGAAACCTATATGCCACACAACGAAAAATATATACCAACACTGAGGAGCAAGCAGATCTTTTGAGCCTGAGATAATACATTCTGGTGCTTGATATTGTAAAGACGTTGGAGAAGGGACCTCATGACTCACGTGTTGAACTGATGCCTCTGAGACCATCTCCCACAGCATTCTCGTAAATAGGGAAGACTGAAACCAGATATTCTGTCTGGGGTGTCAAATTGAGGAGCTGTACACTAGAGGTGGTGCCATCCAGAACAACCTGAAAATATATAGGAAGATTACAGTCCGTCCATGGAGGCTATTCTCTGTTAGTGAAATCCCAGTGCTCAAATCTCCTTGTTTCAAAAAATAGTGGTCGGGACAAATTATCATCTGGCTTGGATAGCTTTGATGCTGGAGAAGATGCCCAAGAATACCATGTCAAGAAAGCAAACAAATGGATCCTAGAACAAATCCACCCAGAGTTCTCACTCAAGGCACAAATGACCAGGCTCCAATTATCATAGTTTGGACACATTATGCAAAACCCTGGTTCCCTTGAGAAGTCCTAATGGTGGGGGAAATGGAAGGAAAGAGAAGAAGAGGATGGCCAGCAGCAAGATAGATTAAGTCCATTACAGAAATGCTGGAAGGGCCAGGTTGGGGACAGATAGTTCTGGAGGAAATCTAGCTATGTCACACATAATCAATCAATCAATGTCCATTTGGACGGTTCTGCTTAAGATGTCAACAATAAGATGAGATACCTCTTTGGGAATTCCACCTCGAGAGGGGTAATAGACCACTCTATATCTTTGGGGTATTATCACTGGTGAGTTCCAGATGAGATGCATACTTCTGGAAGTAACTTCTTTTAAAAGAAGATTGGTTGGACTCAGGTGGACCCCGGATTTCACTGTAATGGTTTTCATTGTGTCACCTGCAACATTCAAACAATAGGCACCATTTTATTTAGGGTTGGGGAAAACTGGATTCATTCATTTATGTGTGCAATTTGTCCAACTTATCTACTGCCCCGATCTTCCTCTACTCCATGGAAGTGTAAAAGCAATACAAAAGATATTTCTTTGAATTTGAAATGTACCTTTTCAAGTCTGAAACAATTATCTTGTGTTCTAAATTGTTATTTTCCATTTGCAGTGGATTCCTGGGGCCATTTTGGGAATGTTTAAACTGTTTCAAGCTTGATAGAGTTCCCAAATGACTGAAATGATCCATTAAAAAAAAAAAAAGGTTTCACACTTAGTGCAAGGCATTTTTAATTCAAAGTGGTTCAAATTCAAAATGTTTTGGAGATGTCTAATATAAAGCTGATTAGATGACAAATTAGGCTATTCAAAGCTAAGGACTTATTCAGAGATTAAAATGGGAAGGAGGAAAAATATAACATACTTTAAAAATTGAAGGAGTAAAGCAAGGTATTTATATCTGTTTATTGATATGACTATGAATAATACCTACTCACAACTTGAAGTTAGGCTAAAATATTTGTTAAGAATGGCATCATTTTTCCAAATGAAAAACAACTTAATGTAGATT